AGTGTGTAGAAATGCAAATAAATTTTGTATATTGAACTTGTATCTTGCAATTTTACTGAGTCTCTTTTATTGGTAGTAACAGTTATTTGGTAGATTCTAAAGGATTTTTTATGTAAGCATTTCATCAGTAAGTAGCCCTAGTTTCCCTTCTTCGTTTTCACTCTGGATACCTTTTATTTTTTTATCTTGCCTAATTGCTCTGGCTCAAACCTGCAGTACAGTTTTGAATAGAACTGGCAAGGGCAGATATCCCTGTATCTTCCTGATCTTAGAGGGAAAGCATTTCATCTGCACCATTAAATTAATGCTAGCTGTGGGTTTTTTGTAGATGTTTGTTACCACAGTGAAGGTATTCCTGTTTGTAGTTTTTTTAATATTTTTTCATGAAATAATGTATGATTTTGTCAAATACTTTTTCTGCATGTATTGAAGTGATTGCGATTTTTGTTCCATGTTCTATTATTATGTTATAATACATTTTTTGACTTTGAGATGATAAGCCAACCTTGTATTCATGGAATACACTCCACTAGGTCGTGGTATATACTCATTCCTTATTTGTTGCTGGATTGTGCTTACTAGTATTTTGCTGAGGATGTCTGTACCTCTGTTACTAAGTGATATTGGTTTGTAATTTTATTTTCTTGTGAAATTTTTAGGTTTGGTATCAGAAAATACTGCCCTCCTAGAGTGAAGGAACATATTCTTTTCTCTTTAAGTTTTTTTTCCAGAGTTTGTGAAGAGTTTGTTTAAATTCTTCTTCATATGTTTTGTAGAATTCACTAACTAAACTGCAGTGCTCTTTGAATCAGCTTTATTAATGATTCCTTCATTATTAATGAGCTGAATAAAATATTTGATGTGTCTTTATTCTCTGTTTCTAAGAGTCTTATATTAATTGTACTTTAATGGTGTAATGTTTTTATTATCAATCCCTTTTAATAATAATAATAACAAAGACTGACACAAAGACAAGTCTTAATCTGACCAAATTTGGGAGAAACCCCCACCCCCCCACACACACCAAGAACCTAGTATTTTGAATTAACATAAAAATAAATTTACCTCATAATAAAAAGATGACAAGTAAATGGACTACATAAACAAAATGAATCTGAGAGCATGTAATGTCTTCACTATGGAGGTTGCTCATGGAAGCAATGTATATATTTTCAAAAAACTTTCAAAAGTATTTGAAACAAAAGCCAAGCAAAAACAAATAAATTGATTCTATATTGTTAAGTATATTCTACCAGCTCTTTTATTTTAACAATTTTTTTAGAGCAGCTTTAGATTTACAACAAGAAGTATGAAGGTAGTACAGAGATCTTCCACATACCTTTTCCTCACAGTGTGCCTGTTGTTATTATCTTACATTGTTGTTGTTGTTGTTATTTGCCGTCGAGTCGCCCCCGACTCATAGCG